CTTTTATCTGATAATATCTCCTATTCAGAATATAAAAAAAAAACTCTTACAGATCATTAAGGAAAAGACAAACAGCACAATTTTTAAAAATGGAGGAAGATGCCTGGCTGGCGTAGCTCAGTGGATTGAGCACGAGCTGCCAACCCAAGTGTCGCAGGTTCGATTCCCAGTCAGGGTACATGCCTGGGTTGCAGGCCATGACCCCCAGAAACCACACATTGATGTTTCTCTCTCTCTTTCTCCCTCCCTTCCCTCTCTAAAAATAAATAAATAAAATCTTAAAAAATATCAATAAAAATGGAGGAGGACTTAGACTTTGGGTGGTGAACACACAATGCAATATACAAATGATGTATCGTAAAGTTGTACACTGAAACCTATATAATGTTATTAACCAAGTCACCTCAGTAAACTTAATAAACAAATAAACATTTAAAGAAACTGACAGGAAAGAGACCTGAACAGGGAGTTCACAAAAGAGGATATCCACAAGAATGTTCAGAGCACCAATTCTTCTCAAACTCTCCCAAAAAATGGAAGAGGAGGGAACTCTTCCAAACTCACTCTGTGAGGCCAGCACTACCCCGACACCAAGGCCAGACAAAGACGCCACACAAAAGAATACTACAGAGCGATATCCCTTATGAATATTGATGCAAAGATTCTCAATGAAATGCCAGCAAACAAAATTCTACAGTGTGTTAAAAGGATTACACACCATGACAAGGTGGGATTTTTTTTATTCCCTGAATGAAAGGCTAGTTCAACACACAACAACCACTCAGTGTAATAAACCATATTAACAGAATATCCACATGATCTTCTCAATGGATGCAGAGAAAGATTTGACAAAACTCTTTCACGATAAAAACACTCAACAAAATGGGGAAAGAAGGAAACTACTTCAACACCCGATGATGAAAGACTGAAGGCACTTCCTCTAAGGTCAGGAACACGATGAGGATGCTCACTTTTAGCACTTCTGGTCAACACGGTTCCCCGAGGCCTGGGCAGCCCCGTCAGACGAGAAGGTCCCGCATACACATGCAAAACCCCCATCAAATCTAATGGTCAAATTCAACAAAGTTGCAGCATACAAATCAACTCACGAAAACCAGCTGCATTTCTCTACACTGACAATCAAGAATTTAAAAAGGAAATTAAGAAAACTATTCTTTTCCCGTGACTGGTGTGGGTCAGTGTACTGAGCACCATCCTGCAAACCAAAGGGTCGCCGGTTCAATTCCCAGTCAGGGCACATGCCTGGGTTGTAGGCCATGTCCCCAGTGGGCGACCACACTTTGATGTTTCTCTCCCTCTCTTTCTCTCTCCCTTCTCCTCTTTCTAAAAATAAGTAAATAAAGGTTTTTAAAAATTAAAAAAAAACTATTCCTTTTACTATAGCATCAAAAGAATACAATACTTAGGAATAATTTTAACCAAGAAAGCAAAAGACTTGTATAGCCCAGCCATAGCCAGTGTGGCTCAGCTGGCTGGAGCATCACCGAGTACACTAAGAAGTCGCAGGTTCGATTCCTGGACAGGGCACATGCCTAGGTTACATGCCTTGGCATCCCTGGTCAAGGTGTATATGAGAGGCAACTGTTTGATGTTTCTCACATCAATGTTTCTCTCCCTCTCTCTCTTCTCCTCTCTCTAAAATCAATAAACATGTCTTCAGGTGAGGATTAAAAAATAATAAAATTTTTAAAAGGTTTGTACACTAAAAACTATAAAACAACATTTTATAGTTTTTATTACTGTCTTAAAGAAGATACTAATAAATGCAAAGATATCCTATATCCATGAATTGGAAACTTAATATTTTTAAGTCAGTACTACACAAAGTGATCTACAGATTCAATGCAACCCCTATCAAAATCTCAATAACGTTTTTTGTAGAAATAGAAAAATTCACTCTAAAATTCATATGGAATCTCAAGAGATCCTGAATAGCCAAAACAATCTTGAAAAAGAATAACAATATTGGAGGTCTCACATTTCCTGATTTCAAAAGTAAATACAAAGCTACAGTAATCAAAATAGTATGTTACAGGCATAAAGGCAGATACATAGACCAAAAGACTAGAGTGGAGCGCCCAGAAATAACCCCTTGCATAAATGGTTACATAATTTTTGACAAGGGTGTCAAGTTCATTCATCTGGGAAAGGACAGTCTTTTCAACAGATGGTGTCGGAAAAACGGATATCCACGTGCAAAAGAATGAATTTGGACCCTTACCTTACACCATATACAGAAATTAACTCAAAATAAAGACTTGAACATAAGGTATGGAGCTATGAAACTCTTGGAAGAAAACAAATGAAAAGTTTCACGATACTGGAGTTAGCAATGATTTCTTGGGTATGGCATCAAAAGCCCAGGCAACAAAAGAAGTATAAACTGGACTAGATCAAAACTAAAAATGTCTGTGCTTCAAAGACGCAATAACAGGTAAGAGGCAATCCATGGAATGGAAGAAAATATCTAAAAATCATCTATCTGATAAGGGGTTAATATGTAGAATATACAAAGAACTCCTACAATTCAATGACAAAAAAATAAACAACTGGGCTAAAAAAGTGGGCAAAAGACTCGAATAGACATTTTAGAAGATCTACAGATGACCCGTAGGCACATGGAAGGATGCTCAACATCACTAATCATCGGGGAAACGCAAACCAAAACCATGAAACGCCACTTTATACTCATTAAGATGGCGATTTAAATAAATAGTAAGTATTGGCAAGGATGCGGAGAAACTGGAATTCTTGTGTGTTGCCTGTGGGAACATAAAATGGCACAGCTGCTATGAAAAACAACAGTTCCTAAAATACTAAACACAGAATTCCATGTGGTCTAGTGATTCCACTCCTGGCTGTGTACTCAAAATCATCAAAGTGGGAACCTGGACAGATATTTGTACACCCATGTTCACAGAAGAGATTTTCACAATAGCCAGCAGCGGAAGCATCCCAGATGCCTATCAGTGGACGGATGGCTAAACAACGTGCGGTGCGTATGGACGATGAAAAGTCAGCCATTCCTGGAAAGGAAGGAAATTCTGACCCATGCTACGACATGGATGAACCTCAAAGACATTGTGTTAGGTAAAATAAGCCTTTCACACAGGACAAATCCTGTGTGAACCCACGTTTATGAGGTGCTTAAAGTAGTCAGATCCACAGAGGCAGAAAACAGAAGGGTGTTGCCCGGGGCGGGGAGGGTAGGGCGTGGGCAGGCACTGCCTGACCGGGGCACAGAGTCTCCAATGGAAAGACAAACAAGGTTCTGTGTGTAGACCGGGTGACGGCTGCTCGAGGTGAATGTGCTGGCAGCCACCGAACCGTGCACTTCGAGTGGGCAAAACAGTAACTTTTGTGTTATATGTATTTGAGCACAGTAAAATAAAATGTAAAAAGAAGAATATTCAGAGATGCTGAAGAAGTTGTCAAAAACTTGGAACGATTCATATATCCATCAGATTTCAGTGGGTATGTGCACTGCAGTCCATGCATACAGTGAAACCCTGTACGGCACTGGAAAAAGAAAGAACTACATTCAGCAGCATGAGTGAGTATCACAGACATTCTACTGAGTGACAAAAGCCACACACAAAAGAATACAGGGTCTTTGAATCCATTTGTATGATGTTTCAAAAACAGGCAACATCAGCCCTGGCTGCCGTAGCTCAGTGGATTGAGCGTGGGCTGCGAACCAAAGTATCACAGGTTCGATTCCCAGTCAGGGTACATGCCTGGGTTGCAGGCCACGGCCCCCAGCAACCGCACATTCATGTTTCTGTCTCTCTCTTTCTTCCTCCCTTCCCTCTCTAAAAATAAATAAAAATAAATCTTTAAAAAAAACAGGCAACATCAAACTCCAGTGATAACAGTCAGGACAGTAGCTATCGACAAGGACGAGACATGCAGGAGCCTCTGGGAGTGCTGGAAACATTCTGCCTCTTTTCTGGGTGGTGGTTGCCCAGAAGGATACAAAATATTGAAGAAAAAAAGATGCTCATTGAACTATTCATGCAAATTTTAGGTACTTTACGCTCAATTTATCTCAATTTTATAAAACATTGGGGACGGCTGGGTGGGTGGGCTGGGATGGGAGTAAAAGATAGAAAATTGTACTTGAACAATAATTAAAATAAAATTTTAAAAAGATTTAAATATAAGTCGTGACAGCATTAAAGTCTTAGAGGAGAATATAGGCAGGAAATTTCAGGTATTAAAAAAAAAACAAAAACAAAGCAAAACAGCAACAAGAGGACAATGGCGGAAGGGAGGGTGGAAGGGTGCCCCGCAGACACCCTCGGGGATAATGGACTGGGTGTCACTGGCCCACGTTTTGAGGAACTGGAACTAAGGGGATGCACTTGGCCAGGCAAGGGAGAAGGACTTCTGTCTCTGCTGGAAATGACATTTAGGAGCTGTCCCCCTCTCAGAGTTCTTAAGGGGCCAACACAAAGCCCAGGTAGTCTTCGCTCTTCACATGAGGCACCCAGAAGCCCCCGTCTGACATAACCTGGGAGGAGGTGTAGGCACGGCTATTCACACCCCTCCATTGACTCCAATTCTCTGGCCCAGGAGCCAATAGCGAGGATCTTTGCGACTGTAAAACAACAGTCCCACGACATACTACTTACAACCCACACCTACAGCGACACAGAGAAGGGCCTTTCCCCCTCAGGGGCCACGTTTGCCCAACCGGGGCATCCTGGGAATGGGGCCTGTGGGGTCTCAGGCGATAGGAATGGGTGGGTACACGGCAGGTTTGGGCAGTGGCCTTAGTTTGCACGTCCTGCCGGAGCGGCACCCCCTCTTCAGAACGTTAGAGGCAGGGCCTGGGCGAGGGAATGCCTCCAGAGTCTTGGGGGGTGGGCGGAGGGCGGGGACTCGCTGCGGCCTAGCACCACAGGAGCGCTAGTCCTCGAGGCAGGATGCTGGCCGGTGTCTAGGACGACCTGCAAAACCGAGTTTCGAGCACTTACTTTCATCATTAGAAACATTCCCCAGAGATGTGTGGCTGGAATAACGTTTGTTTTCGCTTTCGTTGAGACATCTTTCGATCCAGCTCTCTGCAAAGAGAAAGAAAATCACACAGTTGCAGAAGCACCACTGGTGTTCGTGAAGCGACAGGAACACCGTAAGTGCGTTGGATTTGCTAAACACCCATCGGTTTCCATCTGAGAACGGCCTCCCCTGGAGCCGGGCATTACAAGAGGCTCTATGTGCACCATTTGCCAAGTAGTTCGGAGGCAAAACGGCAATTTGAAGCCCCACTCGAGCAGTTCTTAGTCAACTTCCACTCGTTTTGGAGTATTCATTGCCCAGCAGTGCCCACTGAGGTCTACCTTTTTTTGAAAAGAAGATACCTTCTTGGGAAGTAGTTTGTAAAACAAAATAGGGCCAACTGGATCGCTGGTGGTGGTTTGCAGACTTGTAACTTAGCAGCGGGACCCTCCCTCTGAACAAAAACAGAAAGGGAGGGGGAAAAAACCCTGTGGCCTCTGGCGGAAGGGGAGGTGGGCAGGGAACTTTGCAGCTCACGTCCCTTTGCCCAGTGACCCCTGAAGGGCTCTTCCAAGCACAGGCCAAATGCCACTGCAGGAGGGAGATGTCGAGAGCTCCCTGACAGCTAGGCAGTACTTTCAAAATCCAGAAGACTATGGTTTTTAAAATCCAGTCCAAAGGCTACAGATGCACTTCCTCTAATGTAGCACAATGCTACCCATCTTCTAGGCCATCCACTAGACAGTCATTCCTTCTACCTGAACTAAGTACATCGGTGAAGCGCAGCCAGTTCTGCTGTAGCACTTGTTTTGACAATGAGTGGGTTCCAGTGCAAGTGGTATGTTAGGGAATGATTTGAGCATGAAGCAAACTATGTGTCTGTTTACGCTTGATTTCCTCTGTCAGAGGAGGTGAATGCAGAAAACCGCACGTAGCTGAGCCCGGCAGGAATATGCAAAATTCACACGCTCGCACTGCAGGCACCTACCAGCCACTTTTCCAGTGTGTGTTACGAGCCACACCTCCCCAGATAACGGACCCAAGTTCCACCGCTTCACCACAATCCAAGGTGCAGCCCTTCCGACGTCTGCTTCCAAAGCAAACTCAGGTCTCTTCGCCATTTAACATGTGCGAACTGTGCTATCATTTTTATTAGGTGTTGCGTTAGTGTGTCACAGACAAAGTTTTTGAGTCCCGTGCCCCTGGCTTATTTTCCCCAGTAAACTGTGATTTTTACGGTGCAATTTTGTAGAACGGTGGTGGTTTTCAGGCGGGCAGACGGCAGAGCTGACTAGAGCTGTGGCCATGTGCATCCGAGTGCTGCAGGCTCCTGTCGCCGTCCGGGCCGCAGGGGAATGAGCATTTATCGGACACCCATTTAAACATGCCGGGCCCTTTGGGTACGCTACCTCATGGAGTTCTGACAGCTCCCAAAGGGAAGATTTTCACCTCCATTTTTCCTAGAAAGCAACCGAAGCTTAGAGAGAATACATAACGTGACTCCTCGTAATTCAAAGAGCCCAGAAAAAGAGCATTAGTTAACACCTTCCTAACACACTGTGAGAAGCAGCCTGTGGGGGCGGGGGTGGGGTGGGGGGGCAGGGAAGCAAACTCAAACAGCAGGGAGAAATGTTGGGTGTTTGTTTTCCACCTCATGTTCCAACGAACTGCTCTTTTAAAAGCTGCTTCCAAAACTGTAAATAAGGAGGGGTGTATCCCCGGGGAGGGACGGGAGCCAGCTTGTTAAGAAAGAGGATATGGAAATCTGGTATTTCTGAGGAAGCAGTCAGCAGCAGAGAGAGTAAAAATATTAGAGCACTGCGCCTTCCAGATGGCAAACGCACAGGCTGGCAACCGAAGGCTCCTCTCATCGTCAGAACTGTGAGGGCCCGAGGTGGGCGCCCGTCACCAGGCCGCACCGAACAAGGCACCTGAGTATAAACCTCCGAATTCTCTCCAGGACTCTCTGCAGTGGCTCCCTTAGATTTTTGGATCCCTTCAGTCCTGGCCCACGTCCCCTGGCAGCAGCCACGGCTGAGTCTGGACGGCCTCTATCGAAATGCACAGCTTCTCCTCCCTCCAGCAGGCCACCCCACCAAAAGCGATTCCTATAGTTCTGGGCCAGTGCCTGGTCTCGCAAGTTAGGTATTCACACCTACTTACTCTCATGTGTGTGTGGCGGGGGGGGGGGGGGGGGGGGGGGTGGCAGACATCATCACACACTCACCACCCCCACCCCCTTCAGCAGAAACAGGGAACAAGGAGAATCTCCCTCTCACTCCTACCCACTTGCCTGTGCCAGGAGTAGGCCTGCTAAAATTGGAGCTGTTAAAAGGGCCTACTCTTGCAGGTGAGATGCCCCAGGGATTGCTGGGGCACTCTCCAGAGAGCAACCTGGCAGCCCTCTGGAGAGGAGGGCACACTGAACACCAGGGGGCCAAGAGATGGCAAGACCTGCCCACAAGAGTTCAAGTCCAGTAAGGACTTTCCCCTCCTCCATACCACTCAGCCCCAACACTAGACCGAGGGAGGCAAGGTTACACAAAGGGAAGGAGGGTTGGAAGTGCAGTTAAAAAAAAAAAACAAAAGAGAAATCTCACCAAGGAGCCCTTTCCCCTTCCCATGGAACCCACTCAGGCCCTCTGACCCTGTGACCCATGCCTGTCGGCGCTCTGCTCCACAGCTCTGCTCCCGAGAGTGGCGCACAGTAAGTCTGGTCTCCCTTGCACACGGAAGCTAGGGGAAGGTGGCCATCACGTCTCCATTTCTCTGGTCACAGTACCCAGACCCATTTCAGCTCTTTCATGGAAGAAATGGTCCCCACTTCTTTGCCATCCAATTCACGTGCATCTGGACGTCTCCTAGCTAATCAGTATCCATTGGAACACGCAGCACCAGGACGGACTCCGAGATGGCTCGGACGGTGGCCGGGCAGTGCCCAGAATGGCAGAGCCGTGACTTCGGTTGTTCTGGAGACCGGGAGTTCTCGGAGCGTTCAAAGGCCCTGCATTCCAGAGCACGTGGCTGCCACGCTTTGAGATATCCCAACGGGCCACAGGCCTCGGATCCACAGGTGCTCTGTGACCTCTGTCATCTTCCCTGGAGAAGGGGCCGTCTGGAACTCGTGTCCCCTGAGCCAGGTTGTCTGCACGACTGGAAGGCCCCGACTGGCGTCACCAGAAGTAAACTTTAGATACTTGGAAACTATTAACAAGGGATTTTGGTCTTGCCAAGATCAAGAATTACTCAACCAGAATGACATTTATATTGAGCGTTTAATGGTGCATGGCGTTCATCTGTTTTATTTATTTGTGTTGATATGATTTAATAATAAAGGCCACCATTTATGGAGCCCCTATAGGCCAAGTGTTAGCCAAATGCATGACATCACCATCATACTTAATGCCCATAGAACCCTGTGACAGGCCACCCTACTAACACGGATATTTCCAAGACGAGAAAACTAAGGCTCGGAAAGATCAGGGGACTCACCCAGAGTCGCCCAGCCAGTAAGAGACAGGACCAGCACTCTAACCTGAGTCATAGCCACAGTGCTCTCTCCCGGTGCAAACTCACCTCTCCTCCCAGGTCCCACACAGTCCCCAGAACACGGTGCCAGTGTGACCACATTGATCACAGTCTGCCTCGCACCAGAACATTGGCTGAACCTCTTACGTGTTACAACTTCTGCTAGAATTTGCTTGCGTGTTTCTTTGCCAGCCTTTGCTATACGTAGCAGGCTCTTCAGTTTAGAACTGAGACATCTTTAGAATGGAGTCCATTTTATTCTATTTCTTTGGACTGTTCTTCACTAGTGCCTGATATAGTTTTTCATTTAGTCTGGCCTCAAAAAATGTTACGTCGCTGATGCACGGGACATCAAAGAATGCACAGCACAGACAGATACGAACTCTTAGCTACAGGACTTCCTAATCATTTCCTTTTTTTTTTTTTCCCACATAGGCATGAAAAAGTACAAGACATCAAAGGCAATTTCCTAAATAAAGCAAGCACAACTTAACATTTATTTTGTGCCTTCTGGATACAACAAGCAGCAGTAGAGAGAAGCTACCGGGGATACAGACATACATAAGGGGGGTTCTGCCTTCTAGAAAGTGAGGCCGATGCCACTCCCCAAGCTCATGAGAGTGAAGACCCTGTTGGGGTTTTTCCCTGCCTTGTTCCCCATGGCTGGCCCTGCTTAGCTCCCCAAGAACTGGGAACGGTGACAGGCACAGAACTGGGGTGACAGTGTGACAAAGGAAAGGATGGGGAAGAGACAGAGAATGATGGACAGGAGGATCCGCCCCCAGGATGGCTTCTGAGAGTGGGGACCACGGAGGCCCCGAGGAGGGCTCGAGCGTGGCGGCTTAAGGAACAGCAAGAAGGCGCCGTGGCTGATGGAGTGACCGAGGTGGGGACCGTACAGACGAAAAAGGAGACAGAGGCAGGTCGGGGAGAATGTGGGCTTTGGAGTTAAACCATTTGAATTTCAAATCCCAGCCTGTCCCTTACTAGCTGTGTAGCATTGGGATGGTTCTTGAACCTTCCTAAGGCCCCTCCTCCTGGGTTCTCCAAAGATGAACTGAAATGATACAGGCGAGACACCCAGCAGGCTTGGCACCGTGGGCCGTGGGAAGCTGAGGAGAGCGCGGTCTGTCCACCGGGGCTCACAGCTGAGAGACAGGGGCAGACGGCCAGGGCGATGCTGAGCCCGGGCTGGGCCTCCTCCCAGCACCAGCCACCCTGTTTCAGAGCCTCCCCTCTCCTCCTCCCAGCACCAGAGCCTAGAACAGATTGGGTCGGTGAGGAGGAAACAGACTCCGGGAAGAGAAGGGAAGTCCCCGGGTGAGCTGGTCGCCGGCTGGCCAGCCGGCCGGGTCAGGCCTCTCTGCCTCCAGCCAGCGCTGGTTCGCGCTCCTGCTCACCCAGCGCACTGCTTGGGCAGCCAGCAGGGAACCAGGGGCGCTTTTGCTGTTGTCACAAGGTGCGTGGGGGCACTGAGAGGGAGGGGCCAGCAGGGGGCTCCAGCTTGGCCTGGCTGCTTCACACCACGGTGGCATTT